AAATAACTATGAAATTATGACAATTACTAAAATTGTACCGCGCTAGATGTTTTAGTTTGATAGATTCCTACGATTAAAACAACATATCATTCTCCATACATGTTCACCGTTCAGGTATTGTTTAATATGGTCTGTCAAATCTACTCAATTGCTCATGATGAACACTTTATCTTATTGTGTGTGCGTTAAAATGCTCCAATGCTTAAAAATTCTAAATAATTACATTTGTTTCATTATTAGATCGATATTCGATCTTGATTAATGTTAGATTTTTAATTGAAACACGTTTGAGATCTTATAAAACAATTTTCATGAGTGTTTCTTTGTCCATCATTCCCTAACTTCTTCAAATCATCCTTTTGAATAACATATCCATACTTGGTTTAGAACCCGTTTGGTAGTAATGATTGTTAAAACTTCCTTTTTGCCACTATTATGTTTGGGGGAATTTGGCTTGACATCCCACTTTATGAGTGATATTCAACTTTGCACCATATTTTGAAAAACTTTGATTTGGCACCCCCAACACATAAGATCCATTTAGTGAAGAAAAAATAATGAATAGAGTGCAAAGTCAAAAGATTTTTAAGTGGAATGGAGTGCAAAATAAATTTTTTTTGAAAAATAGATGCAAAGTCAAATATCACCCAAAAAGTGGGGTGCAAAATCAAAATTCCCCTTTGTTTTTTATCACTTCATCCGTACAAATTTGTTTCAAACATATTGAATGTTTTAATTATTATTATTATTATTACTAAATTATCATCATATTTGAATCCACGCCTGCTTACTTATTGAAATTATAAAATGGATTGCTACAGTAGTTATTAGTATTTATTATTCCCAGTTATTTCCTTTATTAATGTGGTGGGTAATACATCCTTTCAAATAAACATGGTAATACGAAGTATATATTACTAATATATATAAATATATTTAATAATGACTAAATCATATGTTAAATTACCTTTACTTGTATTGGGCGGGAAAATTTGAGCAAAAAATGTAGCAATTTTGATACTTTATATTATATAAAATATATTGTTACAATAAAAGTTTATAAACTAAAGCAATATGTCGTAATACGGAGTATCTAGATTTAATAAGGAAACCAAATCATTTCTAAATCATGAACTTTTACATTACTTTACTTACGTACATCATTTCCAAATTTCTCATATAATATAATTAATTACCAAATTTGCTTTTCTCATCAATTCCCAAGTTTGCCATTACTTTGGGCGGGATTTTTCCCTCCAGTTATGGTGCAGCGACTGTTACTTTATATTATATAAAGATAAAGATATCATCTATCATATCTCCCTATCATTATACTTTGTCACTTTTATATTTATCTCCTAATCGTTGATTTTTTTTATTTAGATAATTAATCTTCATTTATTACGGAGAACTTTTTCATTCTACCCAACCACCCAATCCCGAAGGACACAGTCATTTTATTCAGTGTAGGAGTCAAATTGATCAAGTTTCAAAGACAAGAAGAGAATACTGTATATTTATATAATTATGTGTATACATATAGTCAAGTGGTCATGTATACGCAACCTAACCGACAGACCGAAATAGCTCAATTCGAGGCATAAATCGCCAGTTCATCTTCCGATGAGGTTGCGCTGACTCAAATAGTTCATATCTACTCCTTTCGTATATCTTAGATTAGAAGCCGATTGAGGATCGGTGGGCTAGCGGCGGCGGAGCAGAGTATGGCAGTCACCTGGGGCATAACGATGCGGATCGCGAGGATGGTGTGGGTGGCGCTGAGCGGATGGGTGCTGTGTTGCATGACCGTCGCCGATGAGATTGCCCGCTCACTTAGAAGCGCCGATCTCGGGCCTTTCCATGTCGGTTGATCGAATCATGGCTCAACCATATGCCAGATCTCAAATTCTAGGGTTTGTTGCTCCTGTGTTTTATTTTTCTAGTTGAAAGTCTTGAAACCAGTCGGAGAGAACTGCTGTTTGGTTTTGTATACTGAAAAAAATACATGTAATTGCTGAATTGTCCGATTTCATTCATCAACTGTGTTCGTGTTGAGGCTGCCATTTTCTTTGAGAAAAACGCTGCCAATATTGTCAATCAAAGGGTGATCGGCCGGCAGTTCGCCGCCGGGAAATCGACAGTGATGGGCACGGAAGTACACGATAGGATAACGTGATGTTACATCTTTGCTGCGGTGTACTTTTGTTGTGATGGAAAATTATCCTAAACTGTTCAATAGATTACTCCAAATAAAACAAAAATATACAAATATTGTACTCCCTCCGTAACATTCATATCTTCCCACTTTCCTTTTTTGGACGTAACATTTATATCTTCTCATTTCTAAATCTTCCCATCATACTCTCAATAATTTAAAAAATAATACACTACTACACCTACTTTTTTTTTTTGGATTTATCCTTCATTCCATCACATTATTTCACCATCTTCCCATCATACTCTCAATAATTCATACCTCATTTCACTATTCTTAATCTCACCTACTTTGGAAGTGGGAAGCTATATGTGATAAGGAGGGAGTACAATGTTAGATTTATTTGATTCCATTAAAAGTTAAGAGTCCATTTGGTAGCATGAAAATCGGCTGTTTTGATTGAAATTTATGAAGTTCTGACTGAAGTGGTTGCATTGACTCATTCTGCTGATTTAAGAAAAAACTATTTTAAAAATATATTATATTATATATTATATTAATAAAATAAAGAAAAAGTTATACTCCCTCCGTCCCTTAAAACTTTGTCATCTTTCCTTTTTGGGACGTACCAAAAAACTTTGCCACTTTCCCTTTTAGTCAATTATTTGTGGTTTCTGTTATTTCTCTCTCCTCTGCACAAATCTTAACCACACAGTTTTTACTTTATTATTCTCCGTGCCGGTCAACTTTGGCAAAGTTTTAAGGGACGGAGGTAGTATGTAAAAATAGCTAAAAGGTCACCCACAGTAACTTCAGTCAATACAGTCAGAAAAGTAACTACAACCTTACTTTTACTGTTTATTATACAATTCAGCGTGCAAAAGTAAAAGTTACATGTTTGGTGAAAAAGTTGGTTGATAAGCCTGATACGTCGAAAAACAGTGTTGCCAAATGGTCTCTAAAACTTCCTCAAAAGGGTGATGAGTTTTACTTCTATTTGAATAGAGTTGTGCTAGTTAGATGCACACATTTTGATGTACATCTTTCATATACTCGTCTATCTCACGCTCTATTAGTAGCAAACAATTTTGTGTGCGTGAGACATACGAGTGTAAGAAAAGTGTACACGAAAATGTGTACACCAAACATTTTTCATTTGAGTAATGTTCTCAAAGAAAATTATGTAGCCGAGAGTTGTCAATAAATGAAAATAAAAGGGAGAATGATGCCTTTTTTGTGACAATGGATGAAAATGGAAAATTTGGACGGCAAAAATATGATACTTTATTATTATACTCTTTTTCTAAAATCACTTTAAAATATTTTTTTTTAAAGAGAAGCAATTGCAAGCACTCCTGTATTATTGGTGTTTTTGTTTCACCCCTAACCCCCATCACTCCCCCCTTCTTTGACCCCATGATTCCTCGCTAGGGGTGGACCAGGAATGGTCTGACCGGCCTGGTGCCCAGCCCGGACCGCCGCTGTGCGGTACCGGACCGGACCAGTTGACCAGGCCTAGGACCTGACCCGGGGTGTTTTGGGAGCGGGCTCGGGCTGCAGCCCTCTTGGAACTGGAACGGGCTATTTTTTATTATTATACGGAGTATATTTTATGGAACAGATTGGGTTGAATTGGGCTAGTGGTTTTGGGGTGGGGGTGGGGGTAGGAATAAATCAGAAAAGAAAAAAAATTACACCCGGTCCTGGCCCGATCCTGGAACCTACGCAGGCCAGTACCGGGCCTCCAAATTTCAACCGGGCTCGGTCCATCCCTATTCCTTGCCCCGTGACACTCAAATGCTAACATAACAGCTCGGTGATATTTGTTGAGCTTCAATCGACACTCAGCACATCAACCGTAGTTCCATGCTAGATTTGTCCTCATAACCACTCAAACGGCAAACCCAGGGGTGGAGGGATTAACCCAAAGCATTCTTTGTTTTTTGTATTATAGTTAAAAAGGGTGATTCTAAATGTAGCCACACATTTGATATTTACAGCCCCTGTTCAAAATTAATTAATTATTAGTTAAATAAATACCAATTGAATGTCTATTATATCCCTACAATTTAAGTATTGGTTTTACGGTGGCCCAAAAAACTAAAGAGTCAAAGCAAGAAAAATAACTTCGGGCAAGTGATTAAAACCAAACCAATAAAACCGAAACCGATCGAAAGTGATTAATCCGTCGGTTATTCCATTTATGGTTCATACTTTTGACTTCAAAAACCGATGAAACGAAAATGACCAACAAAACCCAGCAAAAATGACTTGAATCGACCGAAAATGATACAAATTGACTGAAATTGGCTCAATTTTTGCTGTCCGATTCTCGGTTTCCTCTATTCTACTACATCCGCCCCTTAAAACTTTGCCAAGTTTGACCGACACGGGAATTAATAAAGTAAAACTGTGTGGTTAAGGTTTGTGCAGAGGAGAGAGAATTAACTGGAATCATAAGCTCTTTACTTAAAAGGGGAAGTGAAAAAGTTAGTGAGACATCCAAAAAAGGAAAATTGGCAAAGTTTTAAGGGATGGAAGGAGTATAAGTCAACAAAACCGATCGACAAAAAACTGAAATCGACCAAAACGGACCGACTAAAAACCGAACCGATAAAACCAAAACCAACAAAACCGAACCGACGAACACCCCTACTTTTTAGAACCCATAGCTAAATTGTAAGGGATATAATAGACATTCAATTTCTATTGAATTAATTAATAATTATTTAATTATTTTATTTTGGATATGGGTTTGAATAAGAATGATGTAACTGCAAAATTTTGAATTAGCCCAGTACAAAATTAGTCTGGCCCAGTACAACAAACCAGTCCATTTTTAATCTAAAAAAAGTGCAGCAAGACGCAGAGCCGGATGAATTGGACGCAGTAGACCACTGGCCACTGCTCGCATCGCCGGACGCCCAGCTCGCATCGCCGGACGCCCAGCTCGCATCGCCGGACGCCCAGCTCGCAGCTCTTCCTGCTCCACAGCTCGCATCGCCGGAGCTCGCACGTCCCCCTTCTGCTTCACCCTTTCGCCTGCGCAGGCTGCGCTGCTTCTCTCGAGTCTCGACACAGCCACACAGGTAAGGTTTTATGTTTTTTTTTTACATTTTTTATTTTAATTTAAGTATATCATTTGCTATTTTAATTTGTGTTTGTGACTTAGTGTCTCACAATTCATTTGTGTGCTTTAAATTGTGAAATGGAAAATTAGGACTGCCAAATGTGATGTGGAAATTTTGAAAAATTATAATATGAATTATGTGAATTAAAATAAAATATTGATTAGTTTTGTATTTGTTTTGCTAATTTTAGTTGGTATGACTACTCAATCTACCCAAGAAAGCAAAAATGACATTGCGTTCGTTTTATAAGCCCAGTACAAGCATTTCTCATGAAATAATTACATTTATATGATTAAAAATAGGACAAAATATGTTTTCCCCTCAAATAGATCTTGAGCCCGTTTGGAGAACTCTGTTTTCGGCTTATCAGGCTTATCAGCCAGCTTTTTCACCAAACACGTAACTTTTACTTTCGCGCGCTGAATTGTGTAATAAGCCGAAAAAGTAAGGTTGGAGTTACTTTTCTGGCTGTATTGGCTGAAGTTACTGTAGAGGACCATTTTAGCTATTTTTACATATAATTTTTTCTTTAATTTATTATAAAATATATTTTTAAAATATTTTTTTCTTAAATCAGCAGAATCAGCCAAAACAGCCACTCCAGCCAGAATATCATAAATTTCAGCAGAATCAGCCAAAACAGCCGATTTTGGTGCTACCAAACAGGCTCCTTATTTAGTTCTATTAAAAATAATTTGATTAAAGTTTTCCAAAACAGTAGTGAATAAGTTCAATATTGAGAATAAAACAATGATAATCCTATTTAAGAACTTTATTTTTATCTTAGTCCTATTTAGAATTTTTTTTCTCTGTTGTTTATGCTCCTTCTTGCTCCCCGTGACTAAACCCTGACTCCGCCCCTGTCCGTCCTGGCTACGCCCCTGGCCGTAACCTTGATTGTGTTGTGTACAGGTAACATTAATGTTATTACCTCTTGCCCACCATTTTTTCTTATTAATATTAAGGTATTTATATTCGAATTTCCTTACATTTTTTCATATAAGGTGTTTGTATGTATCGTTTAGACCTCTAGAGCAAATTTTTAAAGTGTTTTGTGCTTTTTGTTGTTTGGTAAGACTATCCTCTATTCTCTTTGCTGTCATAATTATTAGAAGACACAGAATTTGTGTTAATGTCCTTGTTGAACCTTCTTTTTGTCATGGTATTTTGTTCCTAGTATTATTTCACACACAGACATGCATTATACTTCATACGTTATACGAGTGTATATATCTATGCATATGGAATTTGTTTATTTGGAAGAGAGCATTCTTTCATATTTGCTAAGATTCTCCCAGAAGCCTGACCTTCTTCATTGCTGCCTATTCAGTGGAAACAAATTTGAATGTTTGGCATTTATTTCTGCAGAGAAAGTTTTAAATCTCAAATCAGCATGAGACAAAGAAAGTATCCATCTACTATTCCACCAGAGCACATTACAACTGAAAAATCCAATTCCATAAGGGATCCAAAAAACAAATATTTACTCTCTTCTTCAAGACAAGTGTTTATTCTCTGCTTGGTAACTCGGATACTCAACTCCCTCCTGGTGCAAACTTACTTCAACCCTGATGAACATTGGCAAGCCCTTGAAGTTGCCCATCATATCACATTTGGGTAATTTATCTTTCTCTTCTGTTTTTGGAATTGGATGGTATTATTTTTTCCATCATTTGCAATGGAGCCAAAGACTCACTATTTTTTGGCTTGGGAATATGATGGAATAAAGCAAAATGACTTAGTAAACTGTCTGCGCTTCTTTGTTACGAAGCAGCAATCAGTCCATGCAGTTTTCGACGCGATTTTCACTATGGGTCATCCGGAAACAGTCTCTTTGTGCTTTAGTACAGGGGTAAGACTGCGTACATATGACCCCCTACCCCACCGTAGGTGGGAGCCTTTGCGGCACTGGGGTAATGAAAATGATGACGATGAATATTATTTTATCATCACAAGGTTTCAATGAACTCAAATTCATCTCAGTTTGCTTTTTTATTTATTCTTAATTTGCAGATATGGGCATTTGACATGGGAATGGAAAAGGGGAATAAGGAGTTACTTGCACCCATTCATTTTCTCTCTTCTCTATAAAGGTCTATCCTTTCTAAAGCTTGATAGGCCTTGGTTCATGGTAATCATTGCTTTTTTTGATCAACAAGTGACTTGTGCCTTAGTGGTATTATAATTCTTAGATGATGTATTCTCTGAGACGGTTTTTATGACTTCCATTTGATCAACACTGGTTCATATGCAGTTCATATTTGCAACAAAAATAAATAAACACAACTTCATAGCTTAAAAGAATTTGACTTTGTGATGTTGATAGACCTTTTGAACACAGCTACACTAGCTTTGAACAGTTGATGTTTTTTATACGGTCATCTGCAATTTTCAACACGGTTTTCATCATGGGTCATCTGGAAAGTCTGGAAACAGCCTCTCTCTGCTTTAGTACAGGGGTAAGGCTGCGTACATCCGACCCCCCCTACCCCACCATGGGTGGGAGCCTTTGAGGCACTGGGGTAATGTTGTCGTTGTTGGTTATTCTACACGGTAACTTGCGTTTTAGCTTTTCCCATATACCTTCTCATCTAAGAGCTTTATGGAAAACACACTTATTAGCTTTGAAGAATATATTTGCAAGTTCATGAGCTGTTTTTTGAATGGATTCTTGGTTAATCTCCTCCCCTAATTCCCTGACCCAAAAATGTGTTGTTGTAATACTTATTTGGCTAAAGGGTCAAATAGATACATGAACTAACTTAAAGTGTTCAATTAACCCCTTATATAGGAGGTTCTGCCCGGACGTCGCCAATTGGGGCGGTTCCCAATGGAATTGTTTGATGAAATTTTTTGAGCATTTTGTTTATTAAGTCTAGTTTACTCATACCAAATTTCAGCTAGAAATTCAACCGGGAAGGCAGTCAAATGATTTTTTGAAGATAACTGCGCAGTTAAATAGCGCAGTACATTTCGGAAAACCATTTGACTGTCTTCCCGATTTAATTTTTAACTGAAATTTGATATGGGTAAACTAGACTTAATGAAGAAGATGCTAAAAAAATTTCATCAAAAAATTCAACTGGGAACCCCCCCAATTGGCGACGGCCGGGCAGAACCTCCTATATAAGGGGCTAATTGAACTCTTTAAGTTAGTTCATGTACCTATTTGACCCTTTAGCCTACTTATATTTGTCCCCAAAGAGTCCTATTTGAAAGAAAGTTATTTTTATATATTTAATGTCCTTTTTAATTGTTTCATACAACTTAAATACTCCCTCCGTCCCATTGGACTTTGCCAACTTTTTCTTTTTGGTTGTCCCAAAAAACTTTACCATTTCCCCATTAAAGCAACTAATTTGTGGTCCTGCATATTTCTCTCTTCTCTACACAAATCTCAACCACACAGTTTTTACTATTCTTATTTCTCACCTACTTTGCATTTGGAAAAGTCCACCGGGACGGAGGTAGTATGTTACTACAGCTAGAAATTGTTGATTAGTACAGCACTAAAATTTAAAAGTTGTAGGTTGTGCCTTTAGTGAAACATAATTCTTTTTTTTTTGGGGGGGGGGGGCAGAGGTGGTATCTTTTGGACACTCTTTGTTGTTTACATTGTTTATGTGAATGCATGCACCTTTTACACAAATTTATCTTCTGCCTACAACAGATAAGGACTCCTCGGCTCCTACAGTCTGTTTTCTCTGCTGTTGGTGATCTTTACTTGTATAAGATTTCTCAAAAGTTATTTGATGACCATGTAGCAATATGGGCAGTATCCTTCAATAATTATATACCACTTGTTGCACTCTAACTTGTTTGCTGTTTCCTTCATTTTTATTAAAATACTGCTTTTATTCACCTGGAAATTATTTGTACCAATTTTTTCTTGTTTCTGTTGGATGACAATCACACAATACTTAACTCAACTCCAGCTGTTTGCACAATTAACCAATTGGTTCATGTTTTTCTCTTGTACTCGAACTTTGTCTAATAGTTTTGAGACCGTTCTTACACTAATGAGCCTCTACAACTGGCCTTCCATTAGGAGATATCCAAACACGCCCCCCTCAGGTTCAAGAAAGTGGGCTTTGGCATTTGCGGCATTGGCTTGTGCCATCCGGCCAACAAGTGCCATTACGTGGTTGTATGTTGGCCTTCTGGAGTTGTACTTTGCAGACAAAAAAATGAAGTTTATTCTTCTTGAAGTGGTTCCTATTGGGTAAGCATGATAGAACCTTCTATAAACATGAATTACCATTCTAGAATTCAAATAATGAGATAACTATGCACACTCAATGGGAGATGAATGCATTAGGGTGCTGCAATCTTCACCTTCACTTCTTGCTTATTACCTGTTCTTATTTATACCAGGTCAGATTCCATACATTTAGCTAGCTGGACCAGACTAGAAACATTGATACCATGAATGATTTAGACTACACTGGATCTTACAAAATTATGATCACATCACATTTCTTCAGGTGGAATCATGGAAAGAACAGGTCCTAAGATGCCAAATAATGATTTCCCTAAATAATTTCAATAAAATTAAGGATTAGAATCAATCTCAATCATTTGTAAATTTACACTCAATGGATAATTGGATCCATATATGCTAAAAGAAAATTTGTTGCTTCTTGCTATCTCTAGCTATTGAAAGCAGAGCCCATTTATTAATGTTTATTAGCTGAAATTTGATGAATCTGCTGAGTTTTTAAGATAAAGGTTTTTGGTTCTGCCCATTTTACAGTTTCACCCAAACAAGCAAGTCAAAAGCTGCTTATTCTATTTGTTCTGCGAATAAGCATAATTGGCCATATTAGGCAACCAAATGAAGCTATAGACGCTTGATCTACGCTTTATAGTTAAATAACTATTGAAATGGATTCTGAGAATAATAACTGCCTTAGTTATCATCTTGAAAACTATAATTAGGCTTTCATGATACCTTTATGCATTTCCTATTTCCAACAGCATGGTATTTTATTACATGCCAACGTAGACTTAAAAAAATCACTTACCTACTTTGATAATAAACATGTGGAATCAGGACATTGATACTTGGAGTCACACTTCTGTTGGATCGGTGGATGTATGGGACTTGGGTGATCGTGCCTCTTAATTTTCTGAAGTTCAATTTCCTCTCTTCCGGAGGTGACTATTATGGAACTCATGTATGGCACTGGTACCTCAGTCAGGGATTCACGGTGATGGTCTTCACATTCCTACCATTTTCTTTAGTCGGAGCTATCATGTCTAAACATTGGAAACTATCTGGTCTCATTGCATGGGTCTTGGGGGTTTATAGCTTGTTAAGCCACAAAGAGTTCAGGTACTTCACATGGAAGTTTTAAGGGAAAATGTGCAAATCTGCCTTTATGCCCTTCACTGTATGTGCAATTTTTTTGTTGCATTGCCATCAACTTCATTTTCAGCACCTTAATCAAACTAGTTGGGCTTGATGCCATTAAATTCGTAATATAAAATGCAATATAGAATGTTGGGTAAAGACCGATCATTAAATAATTTTAACTTTGACTTTAGTCATTTTACATGCTAAATTAATTATTTTTTTTGTGGTTTTTGCAGTTTTGTTTATATTAATAGCATTTAACGCAACTAAGGGTCACTATAAACCTAGAGGGAAACATTAAGCTACCTGAAAAATGTCAAGTGCTAAAATAACTTTTAGCTAGAGGTAAACATTGAGGGCATATTTGCACCTTTTACAAGTTGAGTTCTTTGCTGATGACTATCTGTGCTGACGTTAAACATTATGCTATTCTCTAATTAGTGTGAAGTGACAGGTTTGTCCTCCCCATGCTTCCCATCGCTTTAATGTTCTCTGGGTACTTGCTGGCAAAATTGGGTGTTCCTAGTATCTCAAGGACCAGTTACACAGGGTTATCAAAAAAGCATCTTTGCGTTTTCTTCCTACTAATCACAAATATTCCCATGGCTTTGTATATGAGTTTGGTCCATCAGGCAGGTATCTGATTCTTTATACTTTGGCACCCCCAACCCGAAAACTGAACAGTTTTTAAACAAGATATAACTTATAAATTTTAGTTTTACAAAATTATTTGTTTCTTAAGCTACATTTAGCAAAGCTCAACTTGTTTGAAACACATTCACAAAAAAGTGTTAAATTAAATGTAATGCAGCCTTTTTTGTCGAAATGTGGCTTTTTATTGAGACAGTAATAAGATTTGAACCTTGGATATGAACTTTTTCAATAGAGATTTAAGCACCTTATACAATTTAATTTACTATTTCCTTGTAATATATGCTTCTCAGAGAGGAACTGAGGATGTCATGAACTATCTCTCTGTCGAAGCAGCCAATGGAAACGTAACAAGCATCCTTTTCTTGACACCTTGTCATGCGACACCTTACTACTCAACCCTTCACCGTAACATTCCTATGCGCTTCTTGGATTGTACACCAAGGTATCAACTGCCTACTTGTTCTTGTTTCTATGTCCATATGTGTTAATACACTAACATAGAATGTGACTGTTTTCTTATGGGAAATGCTTCAACAGTGAAGCGAAAGGAGTGGTAGACGAGTCTGATCGGTTCTTGTCAGACCCAGTGGGTTTTGCAACTCGGTTTGCAAAAGGTTGGTCTTTACCTAGCCACATTGTGGTGTTTGATGCACAAGAAAAGCTATTGGAGGAATTTCTGGCTTTACACAATTTCAAGGAGGTGATTTGGCATTTTCTTCTATTTATCAGGGTTGTTGTCTTTGTTGATTGGTCTATAACCCGACATGGTTGACAGATAAAAAGGTTCTTTCATGCTCACTTCAAGGTGGATAGAGAGCTTCAGGCATCTATTGCTGTGTATGCATCTGGAGACCAGTCAAATTTCCCTCTTCCAGATTAAAAAACATCTGCTTCAAGCTAGACATATTTTGATGGAGTAACCCTCATCCCCCACCTAATGTTCCCTACCATATTCCCAAGTTTTGCCTAATTGTGTTTTTGTTATCTGTGTTTTTCTTTGTTACCCCATTACCTTCAAAGATAGGAAAGTGTTGCAACTGTTGCAGGACTTTCAAGTTTCAACTACGCTCTTATTTGATTAATTTTTTTTGATACTTCCTTCGTGCGGAATTTACTGTTTGGGGACTTTCTTGGTAGAATTTTTTGATGAAATTTTTTAAACATGTTTCTCATCAAGTCTAGTTTATCCATATCAAATTTCAGCTAAAAATTCAATTGGGAACCAGTCAAATAAATTCATGAAACATAATGCGCTTTATATATGCGCAATCGAATAACAGAGGGCTTCATTATTAATCCGTTATTAATACAAATCTACTTTCCCAATAAGGGATCAATGAGGAGCTTGTGTTATAACCGCCCCTAATAATCCTGCATCATTCACGTAGTGTCAGTTCCAAACAACCATTTATCTTGTTATATAATTTCAAACAACATAGTGGTTTACTTGGACAGTCTTTTGGGGCAAATTACACTACAACCGGTTGTACCGTGTGGATGGTACAACCGAGTATTTTTGCAATTAAATCTAAGTTGCAAAAAGACATACCTGTCATACTCGGATACGTATATGGTATAGTCGGCTATACGGTGAGCATCGTACAGCCGGCCCAGAAACAGGCCCAACAGAAAAACAACAAAATAATTTGGTGGCGTTTTTGTAATTAATGTAAAAATCGCGTTTCTGCTAAATGAGTATTAGTGTACTGTTAATGAGCAATAGTCCAATTTTAATGAGTATTAGTCGTCTAATAATGAGCACCGTGTTATTACAAGAAAGCAGATATTAAAACTTAAAAAACGGTGACATTTTCGTAATTTCAGTGAAAATTGCGGTTTTCGTTAGATGATCATTAATACACTTTTAATGAGCATCAAACGTATTCTACTGAACATTAAGAGTCGATAAATGAGTATTGTGATATCAACTTCATATAGGTAATTCACTTTCTTTTTATTATGTTTTCTTTTATAAAAGCTCATTAAATTATATGTATAATCAATTCATATGAATTTCAATATGCGAATCTAATGTAATATAGTACTTTTGAAATCTGCATTGTTATCACATTTCAAAAATGAGCATAACATGAGCATCAATTGTCAGTTGGACGTCACGACATTTTCATTGATCATCAAACTTCCCTTATATTGAGACAAAAATAACGCTTTTTGTTAAATGAGCATTAACGAACTTTTAATTAGCACTAGAACTATTATATTGAGTATTAGGAGTCTAATATTGAGGATCATAATCTTTGCTTCATATCTTTTGATTCACTTTCTTTTTATTTTTATTTTTTATAGAAACTCGTTAAATTATATCTACAATCAATCCCTATGAAGTTCAATATGTGAATCTAATGTACGTAATATGATACTTTTGAAATATGCATTTATATGACACTTTAAAAATGAGCATAACTTCAGTATCGATTGAGTATATGTAACTTACAAAATAAGCATTAATATGAAAATAATAAACTTTGTTAGTTGATCATCAAGACATGTTTCATTGAACATTAAACCCCCTCTATTAAGTATTAGAAGCGTGCAATTAAGTATCGATTGAGAATTCGTAAATTATAAAATGAGCATTAATATGTCATTGAGCATCATATCTCCTCTATTGAGTATTAAAAACATGCAATTGAATATCATGGTCTGTGGTCTCGTCCTGTAATTAATTCCCACTTGAATCTAATGTAATATGTTACTTTTGAAATATGCATTGATATAACAATTTAGTCGGAGCATAACATCAGTACCAAATGATCTGAACATATATAACTTACCAAATAAGCAATGATATGAAAATCATAAACTTTGATAGTTGAGTATCAAGACATTTTCATTGACCATCAAACCTCCTCTATGGAGTATCTGGCATTGTGAGTTGAGAATCAATACATTTTCAAAATGCGATTAATTAAATATCATGATCTCTACTCCCATGGTACAATCTACCTCTTATACAAATCTAATGTGTTACTTTTAAAATAAGCATTAATATGACATTTTAAAATGAGCATAAAACCACTACTCAATGAACATACGTAAATTACAAAATGAGCATCGAAAAATTCAAAAACTCATTTGAATTCTCTAATGTGTTCAAATGTTCATTTGTACACATATAATGATACGTATTAAAAGTATAATCGGATTCTTTTACATTGTTTACTCATGCATATTTATTTTACACTATACATTATAACACAAAACTCATGTTTGTAATTAAAACACAATAATCAATAAACTAATAAATGGTCATCTTAAATTACAAATAGAAAAATACTTAATACCTAAAATATATTATAGTACATAAATTAAAAAAAACTAAGTTAGAAGTTTGATTGGATATATATTATAAATTTTCATCATAATTGAATATAAAAATTAAAATGAAAGGTTGTTAAAGAAAAAATCAAAAAAAGAAAGGATTTTTTTGAAAGTACAAAAGTAAGGATTACCAACCATCAAAAAAGAGGAACAAACAATTAAATAAAAAAACGAAAACAAAGAAGTGGAAACGATCGAATCAAAGTGTGGGACACAAATTCCGAATTGAAAAAGAGTAGCGAACCTGGACACAAATACGATTATACAAATATAATCGTATTCTTCTTATAATGTTTACTCATACACATTTATTTTACACTATACTCATTTTAGTATAACGTAAAACTCATGTTAGTAATTAATACACAATATGTAATAAACTATAAACTAATAAACATTAATCTTAAAATTAAAAATTGAAAACTAAAACATTATTACCTAAAACATTTTATGATGCACAAACCAAAAAGAAAAATATGAGACTTTATTTATGTTATACATTCTCTTAACATTTTAAGACGTAGTATAAAACAAATAAATAAAAGGTGGTTAAACAAAAAACAACAAAAAAAGAAAGAAGAAAAAACTAAGAAAGTCAAATTAGGCAAAAAAAAAGTCAAATTAGGAGGCGGAAACTATCGGGATATCTGAAGCAAAACATATTTATTTATAATGGCAAATGTTCCCCGACATTTGCCCCACTGATTTTGGTGGTCTGCCTTCCGGGTTTTTAAAAAAAAAATCTGGCTTTGTATTTATCAATTTCTCCATCGGAGTTTAACTTGATTTTAAAGACATATCTACAGCCTATTGGCTTGATGTCATCAGAAATAGGAACTATGTCCCATGTATTATTATCCTTTAGAGCTTTCAATTCTTCATTGATAGCTTTCTTCCATAATGGATCTAAAATAGCTTGTTGATATGTTTCTGGCTCATTTAGAGTCGATAAAGTGGCTGAATAACATTGTTGTTGTTCAGAAAGTTTGTCATATCCCAAAAAATGAGATAGAGGATATGCAGTTTCAACACCGTCGTGATAAACCAAGTTAGATCTTGGTACTTTATAATGATGAAAATGTTTCAAATGTGAGGGTGTCTTGGCCTCTCTTTGTGATCTCCTTAACTGAGTATCACCTTTTGTAATTCCTTCGGAATCACTTTCATATTTGGGGGGTATCTTGACCTCTCCTTGTGATCTCTGTGATTGAGTATCACTAATTGTGGTTCCTTCAGAATCAGTTATATAATTTGAGGGTGTCTCGACCTCTTCTTGTGATCTTAACTGAGAATCACTTAATGTGGTTCCCTCAGAATCACTTATATAATAAGATGAATCTTCATTCTCATTTTGTATAGAATCATGATGTTCTTCTTGAGATATATTCATTTCTTTTTCTTGAAATGTTTCTGTAGCTATAGGTTCTAATGTTTCATCAAACTCTTGAAAAGAATCTGGTGAATCTGAGCCATTGCTCATATTTGGAGTCATCAAGGGACTTGTTGTGATATTAGGTAATGAACCTGGTGAGTAAACTATTTTCTCACTCATTCCTTGTTCCTTGTTAAAAGGAAAAACATTTTCTGCAAATATTACATCCCTTGAGATGAAAATTGTTTTTGCTTTAAGGTCATAGCACTTATATCCCTTGATATGTGCTGGATAACCGATGAAAACACTTTTTCTTGACCTTGAGTCAAACTTCTTTCTTTGAACTGGCAAACTAGATGCAAAACACAAGCATCCAAAAACTTTTATGTCTCCATATTCTGGTTTCTTTCCGTATATCATTTCAAAAGGAGATTTTCCATTTAACCTTGGAGTAGGTATTCGGTTAATCAGGTATGCTGCTGCTAAAACAGCTTCACCCCAAAAATGTTTGGGTAAATGTGATTGAAACATCAATGCTCTTGCTACGTTAAGTAGATGTTGATGCTTTCTTTCAACCACTGAATTTTGTTGAGGTGTATATGGACATGATCTTTGATGTATGATTCCTTTATCATTGCAAAAATCATCAATATTGAATTCTTGACCATTATCTGTCCTTACCTTTTGAACATTTACTTTAAATTGGGTTTCCACCATTTTGATAAAGTTTTTCATTGTTACCTGTGTATCTGATTTATGTTTAAGCAAATGAATCCATGTTGCCCTACTAAAATCATCTACTATGGTTAAAAAATAAGTTTGTCCATTTGTTGTTTCTAACTGAAAAAGGACCCCAAAGATCACAATGTATCAATTCAAAACGAGAACTGGAAGTATAAGATGAAGTGATAATAGAAGTATTTTTACTAGAAGAACAATTGGAAGTACATTTAGATGGAAAACGAGATCTCTTTTGTTTGGACATTTGACAAACAGTGCAATAAGAGAATTTATTACAAGAAACAATGGGAGATCCAATCTTAATTAAACAAAGTCTCTCATGAGATAAATGTCCTAGTCTATAGTGCCAAATATGACTAGAAACACTTGCTTCGTTAGCTTGGTTGACTGAAAACACCTTTTGCTCAAAACATTTTTCTTCCCTTAAGTGGTATAATCCCTCCACTTGTTCATTCTGATTGCCAATCTTCCTCAAAGATTTCATCAATGCTTTTGAGTTTTCCTGAAAAATTTGGCAAGAATCTTTTGTAAAAATCACATTTAAATTGTTATCTGCAGTGATTCGACTTACAGAAATTAAGTTAATGCTGAAACTAGGAACACATAGAACCTTTTTCAGAGCAATATCCTTGTTAACATAAATATCACCTATATATGTTACAGGGATTT